TTTTAATTTTTACTATATTATATTATTTATTTTTATTTTTGGTTTTTTTTTTAAGAAATAGGTGTCTACAAAGCCGCATCAATATAACCGGACGTTCTATAAGCCATTGAGCGGCTAGAGATCTATGAGTTCATCGAATTGTAATAAGGAGATGAAAGTTCAGATTATCTCTAGAGAAACCATTAAGCCGTCTTCTCCAACTCCGCACCACCTACGAACACATAGGCTCTCTCTTTTTGATCAGCTAGCGCCTCCTCTTTACATCCCAATTCTTCTTTTCTACTCAGCTACTAGTGAAACCAATCCTAGCAAAAAGTCTGATCTCCTCAAGGATTCCCTCTCCAAAATATTAACTCACTTCTACCCATTTGCAGGACGAATCAAGGAAGGTTGCACTATCGACTGTAATGATCATGGTGCCGCCTATGTTGAAGCTCAGGTAGACTCTGACATGTTCCTGCTCCTTAAAGAACCGGGGATTGATCTGCTGCTACAGCTACTCCCTTGCGATCCACTGGAAAAGTTACCTGAACCAAGTGCTCAGGTTATCCTAGCTGTTCAGGTCAATTACTTTGCTTGTGGTGGCATGGCAATCTGTGTCTGTGTTAGGCATGTGGTAGCTGATGCATCAGCCGCTGCCGCCTTTGTTAAAAGCTGGGCTGCAGTAGCTAGTGGCGTCGATATAGTACTCGATGCTGTGATTTATGACTGCACATCTCTCTTTCCTCCACAAGATTTATCAGGCTTATGGAAGACCATTGAAAAGAGTCGGAATGTGCTGCTAGCGGAAGTTGTGACAAAGAGGTTCATTTTTGATGGCTCTAAGATAGCCGCTTTAAGAAATGAAATTGGCAATGGGCTGAGTCTGTATCGTCCAACACGTGTTGAGGCTCTGTCCTCGCTCATTTGGAACGCCATAATAGCCGGTCACACAGAAGAGGGCGAAATAGTTCCCATGCATGTGGCGACAACTGCTATGAATCTGCGAAAGAGAATGAATCCGCCATTGCCGCAACTGTGTATGGGAAACATCTACCATATAACCATGGCGAATTTATCCATGGCAAAAACCAAGAGCCTCAGCAGTTTAGCGGAAAAAATCCACGAATCAATATTGAAGATCGACGATAAGTTTGTTAGGCAGTATTTTGGAAGTGGTGCACACTTGAATGTGGTGAAAAACATGGCTGCAGAAGTTGGAAAGAGTTCAAAAGCAGGGCTGTTTAACTTCAGTAGTTGGTGCAGATTTCCATTTTATGAAACTGATTTTGGATGGGGAAAGCCTGTTTGGTTTGCAACTGCCCTGAGGCTTAACAAGCTTGCCATTTTCTTGGATACCAGAGATGGTAAGGGCATTGAAGCATGGATAGGATTGACAAAGGAAGAAATGACAAAGCTTGAACAAGACCCTGGAATTCTTGCTTATGCTTCTATCAATCCAAGCATATGAGGGTTCAGCTACTCATATAAACTTGGAAAAAAAAGATCACTGCATCAAAGTTCTCTTTCTTGAATCTTTGAAAGAGGCTCCAAAAGTGCTTTCGTATTTCTTGTAAATTACTCTTGCTTATTTTCTCAACATCCGTGATTAGCAACTTGTAGTTGAAGGGTATCTAGCTGGTAAGTGCCAGAGATATGTATTGCAAGTCATCTAGCCTGTACAATTCCAAGTAATTCAGTCTTGAATAAAGAAATGATGCTCTTTTCCTGTTACTCAAACTTCAGATAGATAAACTCAATATTTTGTCAAGAACCGTATTCTTGAATCCCAGATTTCCCCTTTCTATAAGAATAAACATCTTCTATCCCTATTTGATGTCTCCATTTATAATCAAAAAGTTAAGTGAAAAAAATCTTCTTTTGCAAAATTAACGGCAACATATTTTAAACTCAAATAAATGACATTAATGAATAAATGATGCTAGACAATTGATATAATGATGTGAAAAGAGCATCAATAGAGGTACCAAATGGGGTAGAAGATTTTTATTCTTGTTGTGAAAGTGTACCAGATAGACACTATTTTCTAATCTTTGCATAATCATATTTTTCCGAAATTTGGGACTATGTTAATAGAGCACTTATCACATTATTGTAACAGCTGTTTCTGATTAGAGACTTAGCAACAATTACATAAATATTATATCACTTCAACCGTGTGTAATAACATTTTTTATAAAGTTTAATTTAAAAGGAAAAGAAACAGGGACTGATATTCTTGAAAAAACCACCAATATATTGATGGATATATAGGAACAATGCTTAGTAATATCGAAGAACTTGTCCTTAATAACAGTACCATCGTGTTTGCTCATTGTTTCTATTACAAATTAAAATATATTGATTCCTAAGTTCAAAAGCATGTATGAGTGGCACTTAGCCTTTTTAGGTTGGATTTGGAATTTTGTTTCTATGGGTTTTGAGATTTTTTTTTTTATTTTAAGCTTTTTAGATTGGATTTTTCCGATTGAAAATTTGGGCTGCGTTATAGGTGGTTTGATCTATCTTATTTTGTCTTTATTCTTTCATTTAAATCTATGTTAAAAACTTGGAATTTCATGTGTTGTTTCATGTTTTTAATATATTTCTATTTAAAATTTATATTTAAAATTAAATAATGGTACATAATTAAAAATATCAATTTCTTTTTGAAAAAAAATGCCTTGATATTACCAACAATATCAATCAAATTTTTATAAAAATTTTTAAAATGATACATAGAATTACAATAATCTCATCTTTTTATACACTTGTGTAAACTTAATTGTAAAATATTATTATCAATCAGTCCTTTTAAATTTAATGTTAATTCTATGTAGGTGCGGAACCGCTTTAGAGTAGGAAAAGAGGAATGAGGAAAATGGCAGGCTTTTCTGCTGATGCGACTGGAGTCTCTTTCCTAAGACGATTGAGTGCCCGCCACTTTTAAGCGAAGGGAAAAGATTTGTTTTGTTTTTTGGTTAGGTGGTATTTTATATATTATGTTTCTCTCGCAAGTCAAGAGGACTTTTCATTGCATAAACG